TTTTTGAATTGCGCTTGTCATTCTTTATATATTAGATTTGCTGATTATTGAAAGCCACCAGCTATCGTTCCCCTTGCGCGCCTCCTGCCAACATGTCTGACGACAGACTATTAAAAAGGAAATCTGTGCTATAAGACAACAGAGTAAAAGCAGCTGCCCAGCTTCTACACTGTATGCAGCATGGAGTACAAAACTGCAGTGGTTGCCGAGGCTGGCATGCACTTGCATCAAAGTTCAAAGCATGAAAAGCAATGACAACAACTAAATCAGAATTTGCAAATCAAAACGGAAAAATTTGAACGTATGTTATGTATGAAAATAAAAAACGTAAAGGTGGTAGGTATTACCTCTTCAGCCGACTGGAAGTGATTCACAAGCAGATCATTATCATTTGAACACTGCCACGTTTGTATGGAGTAAGGACGAGCAACTTGTGCGGAAGCAAACCGATTGCGAGGAACCTGCGAAGCAACATATAATGGAAAAAAGATGCTCTGTCAAGAAGAAAAAAATTAAGTGTACCATGTCAAAGAATGTTTTGGATCCAGATGGTAAAGGATCCAGCTCTCTTATGCGCTGCCTGATGCGTTGCTCCTTCTTGCTTTCCTCTAAGCAATCAGCCAGAAATCCTGCCACATCTTCAGCCTGTTGTTCCTCTGCCGACAAAGTGCCTTTTGCTGGATCGGTACCCTAAAGACGAATAAAATAGAGTAGAAAATAAAGTTGATAGGAGAAATAAAAGGTAGAAGAGTATGGAATGCTTCCTCAATAGATCAAGAATCAGTCAGATACAAAAAACCAATAACTGCTTAAAAATTAAAGATACTCAAAGAAACACAATTACAAGCAAAAAATTCGAATGGCAGAAACTGTAAAAACTTACTCGTGCAGATCTTTGTCTCCATGAGCCTCTGGTACCCTTTAGCTTAATAATTCTATTCTTCTTTCGCTGCGCAAGTTTGGGCGTAATAATACTTTCTTCGTCAGACGTATCCTGCTGCTGAGAACTTCTTTCTTTACTATCATCCGCAGATTCTTGTTCGCACTTCTAAAGCAAGAAAAGGTTGATACATTTGAGCTTAGTAATTCTCGTTAAAGGAACCATACCACTTCGGATTTGGACTTGGGTAGCTCGATATGTACCGGAGGTACGCTTGCTGCCGAACCTCTTGCTGATTCTAGATATTTTTTTTTCAATGAATAACATGAACATTCAGAGAATTCGCAAAGAAAATCAAGTCACTCACCGGGAACTGCTGCTGGTTTGATCTTTTCCTCTGGGCTATCAATGTCCACAAAAACGCTAACACTCTGATGTAACTCCAACGGTAGTGCTAGAATAGATATTGTATGCAAACATGGAGAATAATGAAGCTAAAGTACCTGTAGCTGGACGCGAGTTCGTTCGAGGCCTTCCACGCTTCTTTTTCTCAACTACACCCGATGTACTGGAAAATCATGCACTTAGAGTAGCATACTTATAACAAAAGGCAATTCCAAAAATGAAAATCATTTACGACTCATTGGAAGACAATAGAAATATTATGAAGTTGGTACAGATATGAGCTTAGCATACTGCATACGAAAAAATAGCGCTGATAAAATCAAAAACAAACAGATAACCATCATGCGTAGGGTATGACTCACATGAATCCAGGATGTCCCGAAAATCTCCACGCCCCCGATCCGCCAGCGATCGGTTGCATAACATTGATCGCCATCTGAAAAAGAACATCAATAGCAATGCTGACCTGTCGCAAAACTGCTTTAACTTTGAAGACAACGGCTCTTTCGCCACAGCCTGCAGCTTAATAAACGAAAAATGTACATTACAGATGCAAGGAGTAAAGATAATGTTTTAACAAGAAAATAAGAATGAAAAAATAAGTTCTCGCGCAGACTGTAATCAAACACACCTTTATCTGCTCCGGTTTAGCGTCCGTTTCAAACTGTTGTTTTCTCATCCTCTTTCTAGGGCTTTCCTCCGGAGTACCATTGACACCCTACAACAACTACATTTACGGAAAAACATGTGTGAATAGAATAGAAAGCATGATTAGTCAGCGCTCCATGTCAGAATGAAATACGTGGAGAAAGGATGCTCACCTCCTTGGACCTAAAAAGACATTATTTGAATAATGACAACCGTAAAAAAGAGCACTTTATGAAAAGCGAAACTAACGCTTCGAACGCGGGCGGAGTTGGTCCGGCGTTGTAGGGCGGCACGACACTTTGCGACGAACTACTTGGTGAGCTCGGGGTTTCAACCATGAAGGGGAGTCGACGCTTAGCTGCCACTGGAGTACCCGATCCATCTCCTCTTTTCCGTAAAATACTAGGCCGAGGTGATGGTGTTGAAATCAGCTGTTGTACTTGAGCTGGAGGGCCAGGGGAACCAGGAATGACGTTAGACATGGCTAAATGAGCAAGATGCGGCCCGAGCTCACAAAAAATAATTTATATTTGTCGTAGCAAAGTGACAAGGTAAAACAAAAATCAAGAAATAATGAAGTAAATTGTCGAGCAAAAGAAAGCAAAACATACGTGGAGCTTGTAAATGGTGTGAACTATGTGCCGCAGAGGCCAAACGACTAGGAGAAGATACTGTTGCGTGAGGCACAACATACTGAGATGTGGCCTGAGTCTAAAACACTTAATGAGCATGGGAATATGAAAACTACGGAGGTTGTGAACTTACTCTGGCCATTGTTGGACTAGAACATTGCTTGACTCCATTTTGTGAGGAGTAGCGATTAACCTTAAAACCCAAGGTTGTGTTCTTCGAGTCAGTATCAATCTACAAGATGCAATACTCACGTGGGGAGAAGGGGTGACTGTTGGACGTGGGACCAGGGTTGGTTGCGGCACTTGAGGAACCAGATTCTTGTACATTACCTGGGCATGGTAAGCTCCATGCCTTAGGGGATCTATAGGAGATCTAGCGACAGCAGCGGCTTGCACAGCTGCAAGGGCAACCGCTCCCGGAGATTTACCAGCGTTTGGAGGAGCATGATGTTGTTGTTGTAACCTATTCAAGCCATGAATTTCACTACCGCCACAAGATACTCAACTACATACAATGAAACAATTGAATCGTACTACTTACCGCATGCTATTAATGGTACTGTAGAGACTAGCTTGCATAGCATTCGTCTGAAGTTGATTGGCATAGCTCGGTGAATGAGTAGTAGCACCGCTGTTTGAACTAGGTCGCTCATCTCGATAACTAAAACGTAAAAATCTTCTTCACGATGGTTGCTATACGTTAACAAGATTATAGCCTTTAATACTATTCAGGAACGAAACTAAAAGGTTAAAGAAGCGAAGATAGCAAACATTTGCTCTACCATCCGTGTTCAGGGTCAGGCATACTTCACGCGATTTCAGCCGCGACGCGATTTGG